TACTTCATAACTAAACTGTTAAAATTACAGTTGTATATGGTTTACCATAGCTCAACAACTGTAGCCTTCAAGTTATGAGCAAAATAAACATGGTCCAAAGTCAAAGATACGTAGGTGTAGTTGATACAGTAGGCGGTGCGTTGAGAAATACACACGTTGCGACATAAGCAGATAAAATAGGTGGTACTGCGAACTAAATCTCTGAGCATTCTGTCTCTGTGCACTCTCCGTACACAGGTAGTCTCAAAAATGATCTCTGTGGCTCAGATATAAAGCGCAGTTTGATACGTCGGTTTACAATGTCAAGAAACGTGTTTTTGAGTTAAAAGCACACTGCAATAGGCAGTAATGGCACAAACCAAGCGTGGGCGACATTTCCACCATATGGAAGGTTCAACGACAAATCGACACGGTTTTCAGATATTCATTCGTATTTATGAAGCCTGTAAAGCCTCAATTGTTGACATCTGATTTTAAAATCCGCTTTGAAATAAACGATTTACCAACGGATTTCTGTATATTAATATAGTTCTAAGTCATTATCCTGGGTTCTAAAGTGCTACCAAGTAAAAATAGTAAAGCACATAACCATGCATAGAGGATGGAAAGAAAATAGTCTAAGTAACCATGGTACTTTCCAAAATGTCATTTACGTCATTTACAGTGTGGTACTGACCAGTTTTTCGACATCATTCGGTAATTAATTACAAACCTTTTTCGGCATTCAAAAGTTTGTAAGGCTTCGGTCTAAGGAGGAGACAATCATCAAGAACTTGCCAGCGAATTGAGTCCGTCCACAGGAATTTAGGATACGCACTTTAGTCTTCAATTACCATAATTTACTATAATATCAATTGACCTAAAAATGAACCTTACGAATAATCATAATGCGTTGGGCATTAATTACGAAAATCATGAAGCACAAGTAATAAATATAATTATCGAACGCCTCAAACTTAACATAATTAGCATTTAGTCGGAAGCTAAAGTCCGTATTTTCCTCGACTGTAAACTGATACACTATTAATGCCGCGCCCGAATGCCGTATTAGCTACGAAGCTACAAAACCATCATTTAATATATACTAATTATTCGGTTGTGCTAAGTGATGTATAAATGGATCTACTGGAGCAAGGTTAAAACAAACTTATTAAGGCTTGATCATGGTCCACGGTAGCTATACTTAAGTAATTTATATGCAGCTACTCAGGTTTCATTGGTATCGAATACTAATTCAATGGAAGCGGTTAGATGTTGTCGATACCGGTTTTTGCAATTAAGATAGAGTCTACAATTTAAAAGCCGGTTGACGCCTTGCGTCCTAATAAGGCTACACCGTCTGATAGATCGGGTAGCGCCGGCGTTGTATCTAGTTTTATAAAGTATTTCACATGCCTTACGTATTATTTAGTATGCAATTCCCGATCGCAGCCGGCACTAACGGGCAACCTGCCGTGACTACTACCGGCATTCCTGTTGCAGACTTGTATCTAAAAGCATTAGCCGGCTGGTTAGAAATTTTGCATTGGGAGTCCGTGTGCCGGAAAGGTATGCTGATTCACTGAGTTGGCTTTAGTTTGTAAAATACTAGAGTTGCAATTTGTAAAATTCAATAGTATTCTATTTCGGACATTCAACAAAGTTTCCTAAAGAGGAAAGTCTGCTGGAAATCTGGTTTATAGCGTTTGTTTACATACGGCACTGCGTAATAGAATATTGTCAGAGGTATCTATGGAGTTTCTTGAATCCATTCTGAAGTCTTCGGTCACACACAAAATATCAAAAGGATACCTATCGTTATCACTAAAATATCCTGTTTGAATATTTTCCAAACTAACCTATCTATCAAAACTGTCACGGGAGTCCCATTTGTAGATAACGACCGACAAGCACGGCAACGAGCGCAGGTTTAATTCAATCAGAGGTTTAAATTGGAATTTTTGTAGAGAATAAACATAGTAATGTAGTGGTTTTTTGTATGTTAAGCAGATAAAAAGATGTTTAATAAGAATTGTAATTTATGACTTATGTCATTTTAAATAGGAACAGAAACATTATGAATACATTATGTAACAAATAAATTCCACAATAGATCAGTTCAAAATTGAAAGTTCACCAAAAATGTCAAATACTGATAAAATAGAGATACGCCTTTGTGTTGACATTACGTACCTTTTTTCCTTTTTCTTGGCGGAAAGGCAAAGGTCTATAAACCATGCAGCCTACTTTTTAAAATCCATTTCAAGCCAAACTATAATCTTTATTCTATTTTTTTATGTCATTAAATTTTTTCTTGGCTTTTTACGGCTAATAGTTTAGACACTGACAAGACTTCTAACAATTGTCTATAATACAGGGAAATGCAATAACGGGAAATAGAAAAAAAGGAAAAATAACTTCTAGAGGAAATTTAAAAACGGTATTAGGAAGAGAGAGAGAGAGAGAGAGAGAGAGAAAGGCGAGGAAAGGGCTTAGGTGAAGAAATATGATAATATATAAATATATTCGTTGTAAGCAATATTATGGCAAAGTAAAATAAAAGGTTACTGATTGTACCATATATTTTATTAATTTGCACAAGGGAGACGTAACGTTGGCGCCAAGTTCTCCGAGTGCATGCATTTTCTACTCTCAACACTACCAAGTTCATTGTTCAGTTGAAGTTAATGTGAAATACTCATTTTGGTGTCATGAAAAGAGTCCATATTGACGGTATGGGTAACTTTGGTAGCAGTACCCGAGTACGACAGTGGGTGGACGGGTTAGAGCAAACACGGGGTCGTCAACCGAGCCATCTTATTGATTAGTCAATGGAAGATTACTAAATTATTGACTTAAATCGGGTACTTAATAACATGGTTACTAAAATCTAAATCTATTTAGCTATTATAATTTTACTTTGGAAAGTAAGTTATTTCTCAATCCTGTCAACCGTGACCATGGGACGTGAAAAGGGCCCGAAACGTTGGTTTCTTTCAAAAAACAAATATACGCGATTTAAATCCGGAAATGTAGTTTCATTTCCTGTAAGGTTTTTATACCGAAAAACGAATAAATTTCTTTTCCCTCGTTAACAGCCGAAAGAGATTTGTTATTACGAAATTTAAAACACTGTATTGAACCTTGCAGTGTTTTGTTTGACACGATAGAATGTTGTTTTTTTATTTTAGCCGCGACAAATGTTAGACCCCCGCTCCTGAGACATTTGCGCGATCTGAGAGTTTCGCCATAATACAGACGCCCCTTAACACTGTACTGCATTTCGCGCGCGTAATTGTCAAACCAAAAGACTGTATTGCTGCGTACCGTGATGATAAGTCAAAATCATTTCTAAATTTTAAAACCTATAGTGTATTTTAGTTTTTAATATCTCATTCAAAAACACTAATATTTGAAAAATTGAAATGTCAGGGTATAGATTAGGCCTAGAGAAATCATATGAGCGCTGTTAAATCAAAATACTAAGTACTTATATTTTTGTGTATTGCAGCATATTAAAGTAAAAAAACTAGACGTAATAATACCTAAGCACTACTGCGCTAGTAGATACTTTTATACGACAATTTGAATTCCCCCTCTAACCCTCTGTCTTGTGTCACACCCCTTCTCTTTGTCTACGTCTGAGAACCACTTACATTCAGCAGCACTTTTTTTTGCAATGGAAACAAAACTGCATTGACTTCATGTTGAGGTTCCACTTTAATTATGTGGACTTCACTGTGCAGAATCAACTTAAAGTGCACTAAAAAGCAAGATAATAAAAAAAATGTAACTAACAACAAAAAATGAAACGCGTGAGTTATTACACGTGTTTCAATTTTGAAATCAAAATTTTAAATGGATTTGGGTTCTAATTACGTTATAAATCAATAAAATTATAAGACCAAATATAATTAAAAACTCATCAATTCTTGCTCCGAGATGTTTTGTTATTTAAAAACTTGAATTAAGATGGAGGAATATCAAATTAGCTCTATTATTTCATTTGTAGACGGCGGCTGTACGGAATTCCATTATGAGTGCGCTACACAACCCCTTTAAACCCTTTCAATCGAGTTAGGTGAATGGGGCTCCATCAGCACAGAACCCTTTACTGGTCCCTGTAATTAGGCCCCGGAATCCGAGGAACACGGCCGAACAGGATGCGGCACAATGATTGTTTTTTGCCAACACATGCATCTGTCATGTCGATTCGTGCCCACCGTTTAATTAAACTGAAGTACTCATTATCATTTTATGAATGACTGTATGTGGATTTTAAGACATAATGTGAAATAATTACTTCGTTCTTTTAAATTTTACTTTATTAAAAATTTTAAACGAGTTTTCCAGCGGAATTTGCTTTGTTAAATTTCTAGTAATCAAGGAGTCGTTTTAAAACTGGTTATGACGTCTATAAAACCTAAATATTAAAAGTAGAGACGTCGCTCACCCATAATAACTTTTCAACTTCATAATTAACTTTCTGTTACGAGGTTTTATGTCTCTCGGAAATTAGAAGACATTTCCTTTGCTTTTATGCGTCGTTTAACATCGCAAACCGATTTGTCTCCGGCGATGATAACATATCAATTACTGACCTATAAATTTTTATTATGAACACCTACACAAGAGGACACCAATAGTAGAGTCGTAAATGTATGAATAGAAGTTCGATCGTAAATCGAAAGATGGTCGATCGTTTGCCTGGGCGCATCGAGGCCGACTCTGACGTAAGTTGATATTTTACAAGTTCCGATATATGTAGAAGTTTCAAATTACAACGCGATAAAGTTGTAATCTTGAAGTCTTTGAAGTTCAAATTAGGTACATATTTGTTTAGCTCGTCGCTAAATTGTTGCTAATGGTTTGCTCACGTGAAACAGTCCAAACATACTAACTGCCAAGCTTTAAAAAATTGTTAAAAAATAAAACGTTCAAAAAGGTCAAAAGTCCTATGGGCTTCAGATGCGATCTCGCAGATCTTGAAAAGTAGATAAGTAAGTTTGAGAAAGTTAAAGCAAATGTAACGGAAGGCTCGAGAATTACCCGAATTAATGTTACATCGGCTTTTAAGAGCTTTTGGAAACACGATGCGAATTACCAGTTTCGCTTCAGATTAAAGCTTATTGATAGATTTTTTTGCATTTTACGAGAGTTCAACAAACCTATTTTATTTACAATGTTGTCTGTTCTCATAGACGTACCTATTAGAAAAGGAAATTTCTTGTTTAATTTGTTGTCCTTACAACTTAGTAACATAAAGTTTCTTGAAGCATAAGTATCTTCCAAACTAAAGAGTAGGTACTAGTCAATGCTGTCCCAACGTTAGTTGGAGTGGAAACCGTAATTGAAACATTTAAAGTCATCGATTAACCGGCTAAGTGCTCAAAGAA